CACTCGTCCCCTCTCCGGGGTCTTCGACTGTGACTTTACGACGAAGAGGCTGTATGTAACAAGAATGATTCGAAGTTTGCAACGAGCGACAAATTTTAAAGGATTTTAAAAGATAACGTCGCAGTCGTGACGCGAATTCGATTTCACGAAGCGTCTGCAGTCGTTGCAAATTCTAACGGATTTGCAAACGCTTGCGTCCGATTTTTCATCGTGAGATCTTTCCGCACGATGACGCTCGAAACAGGGATTTCCGAAGAACGTACGATTACACGAATCGCACCTAACCAACTCGGCGCCGGAACCCTCGCACGACGGAATCGCGTAACATCGCGGACATTTTTTCGCGCAACGATGCCCTCTACCGTTCCGATACCCGGTGTTTGCACGCCACGCAATACCCCCCTCGAGAACCGGCCGCGGCTTTCATGTTTAAAATTGCCTGATAATGCCTCGAACGCTCGTAATACTAATAATATTTAAACGGAATGAAGGTTCACGACCTAGGGAGGAGAGTAACGCGCAGCCGTCGTACAACGGATTCTCGCCGCGACCAAAAGTACTGAAATTGTAAACAATTATCGCGATATTTTCCGCAGCGAGAAACCGTTGAAATTGCTCAATTTCACGAATTCCGCATCCCTCCTCGGGAATCGTGATACCCGCAGAAATCGTTAATTCTTTAGCCAACTCGCGTTGTAAAGAAGAACGCTGATGTCTCACGGATTCCCATCTTTCATGTAGTTCCCCCACGCGTAATTGCCCGCGATCGTAATGCACGCGTGCCGCTACAAGCGAACGGGGAAAACATAAATTGTCGGAATTGACAATTTGTAAAATCGAGCGTTTGGCTACGTTTTCGTGCGTTAATCGATTGGACTGACGTCCGCGACCGGTAGGTAGCGCAACTCTGAAAACACATACCGTGAAATTTTCCGCGATATCTATTCCTCCAGCACTTTGCGCCAACGAACTCACGAGCCCCCATATGTCCTCGTGGGTTAGATCGCGTACTGGACGAAACGACAATCTCGCTGGACCACGCGCTAGATCACTAGACTCAAACGATAATCCGACGTAATCGCTCGGTTCGCACGTATGTACCGCATACGTTCGAATTTCACGAAACGCATTTTCTAGCCATTGAGCGATATCGCTACCTTCAGGTGGCGGCTGTATCGCGAAA